TTTTGGTGTAGACTGGTTGAAATAAGCTGTGAGCCACTGTATATATACTTTATAGGGTCGGAAGCGCTTCTTTTTAGCTGTTACATACTTTTGCACGAATACAATATACCCTTTTACTCTACGAGTAACGGGCATAATAAATCCCGGAAGAGATAATACCGACTGAAACTGAAGAAAATGATGGAGACGGACCCTGAGTTGCACTTAAACAAAAAGGAAAAGGATAAACTCCGACAAAGAAAACTTCGTGAGAAGAAAAATTGTATGGTAACAGACTTTCATACAGCGTACAGGAGTGCGCAGTCCTTGGGGAAGGCAGTAAAGAAAGTGGAAAAATCGTTGCCAAGCGACATGAAAAAGAAGAAGGCTGTTATAAAAGCGGTACGGAAAAAGTATTCAAGTTGCAACAAGAATGAAGATCAAGCTCAGACGTCTGCAGATTTTCAGAAATATTCAATGCTTTTAGACTTTTACCTAAAAGACGACATTAGTGTTCAAGCTGCGGGCAGAAAACACACCTTAAACATTAATGGGAAATTTGTCGCAAAACGTTTCATGATTTTGACCGTGTCGGAAGCTTACGAAATGTATAAAAAAGAATCGAAGTCCACAGATTTAGTGAGTAAATCAACATTTTTCCAGCACAGACCACAGGAAGTTCAACTAATATCAAAGCTGCCTCATAACATGTGCGTGTGTATGTATCATGCTAGCATTGAATTTTTGATGGAGGGATGTATTAACATTAACAATGACAACTGCTCCTTTTTCGGTTCTGTTGGATGAGTTTCAAGCGCTTTTATTAATATTGTCAAAATAATACGAAATTTAACATTTTTGCGATTTTAAATTAATTGGAATGATCTGCGAGGGTATATAAGCTTCGGCTTTCCTACCTGCAATAGTAAAAGGACTTTTGGGAAAGTTTCATCGCTATAGCTTTAAAACTGAGAGACTAGTTCGCATAGAAACGGACAGACGGACATGGGCTAGATGGACCCGGCTATAATCAAGAAAAAAGTGATAAACCGTACAGGGGGAATGTAATCTTTAAAGGATTCTAAGCCATATTGGCGAACATACTTATGGTATTCATTCTAAGCGAATGAAAAATACAGCTTTTTTTGAGGAAAATATCATGTTTGTGAATCGTCACTGTGAAGGAAGTAAGAAAAACAATTTAAAAAATTCCAAAACAATACACAAAAACCTGATGAGTGTCCTAAAAATTAGGGACATAAGGTGTCTTTGGATCAAAAATGCATTGTAGAAAAAAATATTTTTATTTAATTTTTAAACGCTGTTCACAAATAAAGATTTTTAAACTTTGCTGTGACTTTAAAATTTTGAATGCGCCCACCTCCTCATGTGTTGAGGAGTTGAATTTTCCAAAACGACCGTATAAAAGAGACATGTAACTATTTATTTCCGAAAAGATTACCAAAATTAGTTGACCACTCCTGAAGATATATCCCAAAAGACGAAAAAAATTTGTGATTTTCTTAATTTAAAGATACCGCAAATACCAGAGCTGATGGACTATAGGTGTAGTCGCAACTTATGCTTAGAAAAGCCTCATTTATCGAAATAAAATGGTGGCAGGCCTGGACACCGACCCATGTCACATTTTGTCGGCCTGTGTAATTAAATAGACTAACTTATTTATTTTTCCACCACAAGGTAGTTTAGATCAATAGACATTAACAAAAATATTAATTTAAATTAAAAGATTGTCAGAAATGTAGCTACTTTTTATGGTAAGAGTGTATATAACCGCAAACTAAAAAAAAAAATTTTTTTAAGTAAATCCAATTTATTCTAATTTAAACTACACACAAAATTGATAAAATTGACCAGTGAAGATAGTTTTGTAAATATAAAAAAAAGTACTAAAGCAATAAAAATAGTCGTCCGTGTATTTGTTTTTGCTTTGAGTACTATTTTAAATAGTTTTCTAACTATGAACAATAACTACCCTAACGTAACTTCTTTAATTTAAAAGTATGCAACAGTAATTTTACAAATCTTCTGCGATGCCTTATATATAATTCCCAACTGCACACAAAAAAAAATCAAATAAACTAAAATCAACTGTAATAATTGTCAAACAGGCCCCAACCAGCAAAATTGTCAATTCTACTAAGTAAATAGTTATTCCACAACAACAAAATACACACAATTAGCAAAGACACACACCCAAAGCAAAAACAAAATACACGTAACTATTTTAATAGTTACGTAACTATCTTTGTTGGTAATTTTACCAAAAAATTTTTTCGGCCAAATCCTGATACACGTGTTTTTTTATTTTCCGAATAGTACACATAAAAAAGTTTCAGGCAAATCAAAAATGTGACCCAAGAAAGGGTGTTCGGTTTGTAAAAGAACCGTCCATATACCAAATTACCATACCAGCGGAACAATTTTGTTTCGATCTGGCACTTTTAGGTTTCAGACTTTCAACACTTTTAAAATTGCAAAAAAAAAAATGCATTAAAAAAAAATTAATTCGTCTTTGTCAAGTTTAAAATATTTTTTATCGTTATTAGCAAAAAAGAGCCAAATTCAGTAAAAATGGGCCAAAAAACCAACCCGAAAAAAACGAGCCAGATTTGGCTCAAAAGAGGCATTTTTCGTGTTATTAATACTAACAACACGAATTTTTATTTTTTAACAACACTTAAAAATGGCTTAGGCCACGATCTAACGATCAAATTATTTTATTTCACAGAAAATGTTTAAAAATGTAAAAAACAATAATAGTTTTCTTTGTTATTTAATGGCAATGCTTGATAAATGTGATCAAATATTATAATCGTCTTACCGTGGCTTTTCTTTATATTTTTTTTTTTTTGAGTCCTACATTTATTCTTATTATTATTTGTAAACATTTTGAGTAAAATAAATTAAAATCATCAATAAATATAATGATTATAGACATTATGATTATAATTATTTAGTTTAATTTATTTGATTTTAAATGAATAACATTTTTTCTCAGTCACCGTCTACCACACACAAAAAAAAACTTGGTAAAATCAACTGTAATAATTGTCAAACAGGCCCCAACCAGCAAAATTGTCAATTCTACTAAGAAAATAGTCATTTCACAATAACAAAATACACACAATTAGCAAAGACACAAACCAAAAGCAAAAACAAAGTACACGTAACTATTTTAATAGTTACGTAACTATCTTTGTTGGTCAATTTTACCAAGCAAATTTTTTTGTGTGCACAAAAAAAAAACTTGGTAAAATCAACTGTAATAATTGTCGAACAGGCCTCAACCAGCAAAATTGTCAATTATACTAAGTAAATAGTTATTCCACAACAACAAAATACACACAATTAGCAAAGACACACACCCAAAGCAAAAACAAAATACACGTAACTATTTTAAAAGTTACATAACTATTACTATGATTATACGATAGGAATCACGATTTCTTGAAAGCGCGATATAGAAATAGCCCCTGTTTATACGACAGCCGAGAATTCATGCTTTTATTCACTCTCAGCTGATAGGGATAGGCCTTTAATTTCTAGCGATCTGGCAACGTCGATCATTTTTTACAGAGTTACCAGATCTGCTTATCACCAAATCACGCTTTTTGGCTGAAATCATTGGCTGCGTTCAGCAGAACAACATGATCACTGATCACTGAAGGATTTCTTACGATAGTTCTGCTGAACGCACATGATCACTGATCATGATGCAAGAATTTTGCATCAGTGATCAGTGATCATGTTGTTCTGCTGAACGCAGCCATTGTGAACTTTTGTGGGTTGCCGAATTCACGAAATGGCGTTTATACAGACACGAATCAGCCGAAAGCGTGAAATGATAGCGTGAATTCGGCATCGTATAAACACAGTATATCTTTGTTGGTCAATTATACCAAGCAAATTTTTTTGTGTGCATAAGTCTTAATATAAAAAATGTCTCAAAATATTCCAACCAAACCTATTCCTACAAAATGGTTCGCGCGTTCTTTCGAAATATTTTGAATAAAACCAAAAATTGTTTTGAAGATATTCTTAGATAGTTAAGAATTGATTTAAAGCTACATAAACAAAATTTAAAACTGCTAAAGGATTTTTAACCTGTTAAAAAGCTCTAATTTTTCCTGCAGCTAAAGAGATTTGCTTCTTATTACGTGGATTTGATTATTAATTACTGCATAAGAAAGATATGCCAAAAGTAGAGTTCTGGAATCGTAAATTATTTAAAATATGTAGAATATTGGAATTTAATGGTAAATGGGCTAATATTTATCCCTATTTAAATTTTGTTTTTAAGTTGTCAAAAATCAAAACGACTACTTCCTACAAAGTTACAATAAATTTTCTTATATTTGTTTGAATATTCCTTTGGGAGCCTTAAGATATAGTGGTCCGATCCGGCTCGCTCCGACATATGTACTACCTGCAATAGAAAGAAGACTTTCGGGAAAGTTTCATCGCGATTGCTTTAAAACTGAGAGACTAGTTCGCATAGAAACGGACAGACGGACATGGCTAGATCGACTCGTCTAGTGATGCTGATCAAGAATATATATACTTTATGTGGTCGGAAACGTCTCATTCACTGAGTTGCAAACATCTGACTGAAATTATAATACCCTCTGCAAGGGTATAAAAATTCATTGTAACTTTGTAGGAAGTAGGCGTTTTGATTTTTGACAACTTAAAAACGCTGAATCTGGAATCCCTGGAACTGGACCGAGTGAGCATTAAACTATAGGTATTTATTTTGCTGCAAGGGTATATAAGCTTCGGCTGACCGAAGCTAGCTTCCTTTCTTGTTTTTTTGTAGAATGGACTGCTAAACCCTTCGCCTACCACTAGAAATGCGTTTCAGCACAATCCTATCATCCCGATAAAAACAAAACGTAAATGCAATTTTATAGTGTTTATGAATACCTGTAGAAATTTAGGAGACATTTTTTTAATTTTGTAAATTATTAATGAGTAATTTTCTCTACTGGCACCTCTAGGTCCCGTTATTGGCGTACGCCACCTGCAAGCCCTTCTGCTTTTCCTGGCCATCGTCGTGAACTACACAGCCAGACTCAGCGTAAGCGTGGCCATAGTGGCAATGACGGATGCTGCCACCACCAATCTGAACTTTCCGGTAAGTCCGATTTAATAGCCACCTCCGTCGCTCAGTAATCGCCGAAATTCAATCTGCAGGAGTACGATTGGACCGGACAGCAGCAGTCGTACGTCCTGTCCAGCTTTTATTGGGGTTACATCATCACCCAATTTCCGGCCGGTTTTCTGGTTCGGCGCTTTGGCGCTAAGGCGGTGCTGCTCATCCCTACGCTGGGCACGGCCGTCCTGAGCGGGCTAACGCCCTACTGCGTGACCTGGGGCGGTTGGCAGGCCTTTTGCACCATACGCATCGTGGAGGGTCTCTTCCAGGGACTTATATTTCCATGCATACACGAGCACCTGGCCAAGTGGTCTCCGCCCGAGGATCGCAACCGATTGGGTGCTTTTGCCTACTCGGGGGCCGACTGCGGGTCAGTTTTGGCCATGGCCAGCAGTGGTCTGATTGCAAACGGCTCCATGGGGTGGCCGGGAATCTTCTACGTGTCGGCGGGCACCTGTGGACTCTGGTGTGTGCTCTGGGTGACTCTCGGCGCGAATAACGCGCCCAGCTCCCGGTTGATCGGAGCCCGGGAAAGGGAGCACATCGAAAGCTCAATGAAGCGGCCTGATGGCTTCCACGCCCAAAAGATTCCCATTCCATGGCGAGCCATCTGGACTTCCGCACCCTTCTATGCACTACTGATCGTGCGAGGCGCTCAGGGCTGGGCCAACTCCACAATGCAGCTGCAGACACCATCCTACATGCACGGCGTCCTGGAAATGGACATCAAGAGCAACGCCCTTTACTCGGCCCTACCCTTTCTGGCCATGTGGGGTATGTCCTATGTATACCTAATCTTCGCGGACGTGGCCATGTCTCGGCAGTGGATGTCCTTGACGACGCTGCGCAAGTCAATAAACACCGTTTCCTACTGGGGCCCGGCGGCGGCTCTCATCGGAATCGGGTTTCTGGACAAAAGCCAGAGCAGTCTGGCAATCGCCCTGATGACAATCAATGCAGGCTTAAACGCTGGCTCTGGAATTGGCAGCATCCTAACCATCATCGACATGTCGCCCAACCACTCAGGCATGCTGATGGCCATTGTAAACGGCATTGGAAATATATTTCCGCTTTTAACTCCGCTATTAGTGGGTGTTATTGTGACCGAGCCGGTAAGTACTGACTAAACAAATAAATAAGCAAAATCAAAAAAAAAAAGAATTAAACAATTTCATTTGGTATGTGACAGAGGACGGTGAAAATGTAAAAGTGAAAATTTAGAAGATTGGAGCTGTTGGAGCCGGTGGGGATAAATGGCCCCTTGTATAAGCCTAGTTGTATTCTTATTAAAAATAATAACTTTCAATAAGATCAAATAAAAACACCTCTTAACGAGGTAAAAAACTAGTGACGATCGCACCTTCAACATACAAAAGTTCTGATATCAACATTTGTGACGAAAAGTTATTACACTCGTCATTAAATAGACTTTCTAATATTTTTTTATTCGGCACGCTGCAATAGAAAATGCCTGTGAAGGGAAAAAGGCTGGAATAGTCTGCTAGGGCGGGCCGAATGAGAAAAGATTAGAAAGTCTATTTAATGACGAGTGTAATAATTTTTCGTCACAAATGTTGATATCAGAACTTAAGAGGTTAAGAGGTGTTTTTATTTGATATCAGAAGTTTTTGTTTGTTTACATTTGCTCTCATAGGAGCTAATATATACATTTAAATTTAAATTGGTCAATCATAATTTGTAAGCCATTGTATTTAAACAAATTAAGTTAAAAAGTATTTCAAAATACCTTTTAAACGAGGTATGGCACATGTCTGTACCTTTAGTAGTGTAGAACTTACAAACTAACGAAATTTAGCCATTTTTAGCTTTTTTCCCGCTAAAGTAGCGGCTTTTTCCAAAAGTCGTAGAACAAAAGATTCCTATATGGAACTCTTAAGTGCAAATTTACTGATTCCATGACCCTAAAATACAGTTCGGATACCCTCACACAAAATTCAATACTCAGGAAACTTTAGTTGTTCGAGCTGGCAAAAGTGGCTATTTTCGTATAAAAATAACTTTTAAACGTGACTTTTTACAGTAATGTGTTATATACCAAAATTTAAGGAATCTTAAGGGCTATACAGTTTAAAGTTTTCAAGAAAATCGTTAGAGCCGTTTTTGAAAAAAATAAAAAAAAGCTAAAAAAAAGTTTTAAAAATTTGTCTTTTGTTCATATCTTTTTAATTATTACATTTACACAAATTGCATATAGAAGGCGTTTATAGCTTTTAAAAATACCTTTCAAACAAGATGCAGCACAAGTCTGTAGCTTTAGTAGTATAGAAGTTACGGTTTTCCGAATTTCAGCTATTTATAGCTGTTTTCCCGCTAAACAAGCGAGTTTTTCCAAAAGTGGTAGAACAAAAGTTTTTTATATCGATGGGATGAACGTCATATTAAATTTTCAAAACTTAAGAAACATGTTTTGGACAAACTGACAAACTGACAAACTGACAAACAGAATTAAATTTTCATTTTGGGAAGAAGAAGGAAATCTTATTTTGGCTATAACTTTTGAACAGAGCGTCGGATTTTGACAAATGACCCCTCATTCGACGGGTTTTTTCAAAAGGAATACAACTAAAACATTGCGAGGGGGCATTTATCCCCACCGGCCCCAACAGCACCAAATTTCGAAATTTTCATTTTTTCACTTTCACCGCTCTCTCTCCCAAGCCAATTGATTTTCTTAAAGTCTTGGTATGCAATCCTTTAAGTTATTGCAATACCTTTCGATCGGACTATCACAGCAGATTTTCAATTTTGCGGCTATATAATAGTAGTCGCCTTCGCACACTCTCCTGGTGCGCTTCGTCACTACATGGACAGCCGTCCATATAATCAAATCCGAAACTCCGCTCAAAAGTTATTCCAAACTCAAGATTTTGGGTCTCTTTTCTACATGAAAATTTTTATACCCGTTACTCGTAGAGTAAAACGGTATATTGTATTCGTGCAAAAGCTAGAAGGTTGAGGTTTCCCACACATATTCTTGTGCTTCCTACGCAGCGCAAGTTTATTTAAGCCAAGCGCCACGCCTCCTCTAACGCCCACAATCGCCCATTAACGATTTTAAAATGTGTCTGGCGCCCACATTTTTAAAGATTTCCGAGAAGTATAAATGCAATTTTGTTGTGTATATTTATACACCCAGAAAAAAATCCGTTCGAAACGTTCAAAAACCAAGCCCAAACGGGGTCAAAAAGAGCGTAAGCCCGTTTGTTGTCAGTTCATGAACGCTTATTCATAAAATTTGACCGAAATACTGGCATGCTTTGAACGAATGGGGTCACTTTTAGAACATATTGGTGATGAATTAGGAGGACTTGAGAACATCGTTCAAAATGTGAGAACAAAAATAGGAGAGCGGATTGTTCGGAAATCATGAAAAATGTTCTTGATTTTTTTCGTTCTTTTTTTTCTGGGTGTACCTATCGAAATGTAGAAGACATTTTTAAAATCGGAACAATCATTATAAATTTATACGCAATCAAAAAAAGTTGACCGAAATACTGGCATGCTTTGAACGAATGGGGTCACTTTTAGAACATATTGGTGTTGAATTAGGAGGACTTGAGAACATCGTTCAAAATGTGAGAACAAAAATAGGAGAACGGATTGTTCGGAAATCTTTTTTTTCTGGGTGTACCTATCGAAATGTAGAAGACATTTTTAAAATCGGAACATTCATTATAAATTTATATGCAATCAAAAAAAGTTTATATGTCTATCTATCTCCCTTGCACTTCCTTTAGCCGAGGGACGGGTATTAGATAGCCGGGACACCAACCCGACTATAGCGTTCTCTCTTGTTGTCCCTGTGTTTGTTTGTTTGTATACATCCAATCTTTTTCCTACACCCAAAAAAAAAACCGAAAGTTTACATTTAATGAGCGTTGTATTAAAAGTATACTACAGCTAGTATCAAACTGTCAGTATTAATTCAAAACTAAATAATGTAAGGAGCAGACTCAATAGTGTTAAGTTAAGACTAAATAGTGTTAAGTTTATGCCCTGAGTTTAATTTCTATAACGAAGTTTCGATTTTCGTTCCTGGTGTGAAACCAGGATGCTCTGGTTTGGAACCTGGACATTTCGAACAGAAAAAGTGTTACCACTTTTTAATGTTATTCGACGCGTTAGTATTTTAATGGTTTGATACATGGTGTAGCTTCTTTTCAAAAAGTCGTAAAACAAACAAAAAAAAATGGTCATAGAAACTAAACTATTTCTACATTAAAAGTAAACTATTGAGTGTCAAAAATTTCTTGATACTCTGAGTATTAAGCTAATGGACTTCGAAAGTATAAAAATGCAACTTTCGAAGTTGTCAAGTTTAAACTAACGAGTATACAGTTTATACTCACTCAGTGTACTGAAATTTAGGCTGCTAGTTTATTTTGTATACTATTTAGTATAATGCCAGTATAAATATTATACCCCGTATTAAAGAGAAACAAGAAAGGAAGCTACCTTCGGCCAGCCGAAGCTTATATACCCTTGTAGATAAAAGAATACTCACTCGGTGCAGTTCCAGGGATTCCAGATTCAGCGTTTCGATTTATTTCAATTTTGTTTTTAAGTAGTCAAGAATCAAAACGCCTACTTCCTACAAAGTTACAATGAATTTTCTTATATTTGTTTGGGAGCCTTAAGATATAGTGGTCCGATCCGGCTGGCTCCGACATATGTACTACCTGCAATAGAAAGTAGGCTTTCGGGAAAGTTTCATCGCGATAGCTTTAAAACTGAGAGACTAGTTCGCATAGAAACGGACAGACGGACAGACGGACATGGCTAGATAGACTCGGCTATTGGTGCTGATCAAGAATATATATACTTTATGTGGTCGGAAACGTCTCCTTCACTGCGTTGCAAACATCTGACTGAAATTATAATACCCTCTACAAGGGTATAAAAATTCAAAAAATGTTGTTTTGTACTTTTCATATATTATTAAAAATATTTTTTACATTTTTATAAATTACTGAAGGTAATTTTTAATTTAACAAATAAACATAAATACAATACATGTACAAAATATGTACGTGTGTATGCATATTTGGGCAAATGCAGTTTTACCGCTTATGTCGCTGATCATCTCCAGAGTGGTCGCCGTCCAGATGAACACCGGAGTTTGGTCGGGGACGCTGATATTGAAGTAAACATTGCGCTGGCCGCGGTCAGAAAAATTGCAAGCCAATTGCAAGATCCTTAGTTTCCCGGCATCTGGAGCGCAATTCAACTTGGTGTCAGAAAAAAGAAAAGAATTTACTCATTAGTTATGCACTAAGACACAATTTAAATGTACTTACATTTCAAATAAGCCCAAAATAAGAAAATATTAAAATTTTCACAAGAAATTTTCACAAACAAACCTTAAACAGACCGCAGCGTCGTTTACAAAATACACTAATGTCAAACCATTAAAGTACTAACGCGTCGAATAAGATTAAAAGGCGGTAACACTTTTTCTGTTCGAAATGTCCAGGTTCCAAACCAGAGCATCCTGGCTTCACACCAGGAACGAAAATCGAAACTTCGGTATAGAAATTAAACTCAGGACATAAACTTAACACTATTTAGTCTTAACTTAACACTATTGAGCCTGCTCCTTACATTATTTAGTTTTGAATTAATACTGACAGTTTGATACTAGCTGTAGTATACTTTTAATACAACGCTCATTAAATGTAAACTTTCGGTTTTTTTTTTGGGTGTATCGCAAAAACTAACAGGATTGCATACCAAGACTTTAAGAAAATCAATTTTCTTGGAAGAGAGAGCGAAGAAAGTAAAACAGTGAAAGTTTCGAATTTTGGAGCTATTGGGGCCGGTGGGGATAAATGCCTCCCCGCAATGTTTTAGTTTTTTTCATATTGAAAATACCCGTCGAAAAAGGGGTCTTATAATAAAATCCGAACGTTCAAAAGTTATAGCCAAAAGAAAATGCCTGCGAAGGGAAAAAGGCTGGAAAAGTGGTCGATTTGGCTTATCTAGCTTAAGAAATGTAATTTCATAAAAAATAACGATAATTTTACAAAGTTTGAGATTTTTATGGAATGTCAACTGTTGAGGCACCGATGTTAATAATAGGCAGTTTAATAAA